CTGCAGACAAATCCAGGATAAGACTATTACTTTTATTTAAGTAACATTAAGACAGAATAAAAATAATTGGGAATTTTGGCATAATACAGCCAATAACGCTGTACTCATGTTTAGGGGAATGGAACAAAGAGGATTGTGACTATGACTTCCCTCCAGGACAATATTTTATGAAGTCAGGGATGAATGTCTGAATTCAATTACAGACTCATATTCTTGACGTGTATGAGTCAAAGGTGCACTTGGCAATACACTTATTTTTTGGTAACTGTTCGTTGATGAAATTACTTTAGTATTTATGATAAACAGGTCTCCTTCACCAAATCAAATATCCTTCCTAAAAATCTAGCAGTCAAAATATTTCTGTCTTTATATTTGAAAATATTTCTGAAAGAGTAATTTACTGAGAAAAAAGGTGATTTGAAATAAAAAGCTCACATCATTACTAAATTCACTCTTCCAGAGGTGAAGTTTAAATGATTTTGTCATTGGATTGAAGAATATTATTGGCATGTGGCTAGGAATCCCAACTGTTCCATCTATCAGAATGTCATTTAAATATGCTAAGTCCACATTAAAATCAAAGTCAATAAATATATGTGCAATACTGCATCTTTCCTCAATTAAATATTGATCAAGTTCATTTCCCAGTTCAAAAGCACAGTTCAAAATATTTCCCTAAGACTGCCAGCTTAACTCAAGTAAAATATTCATGAAATATGTTCAGCACTCAGGCTTGATTTTTATATAATTCACAATATAATTGTTTGTAGAATGCTTTCCAATGCTGAACTTAAATCTGAAGAAAGAGCTTGCTTATTAATCATATAGTTTATCCATGCAGCACCAGGAAATTTTTGCCATATTAAAGTTTAAAGGTCCTTTGTGACAGCCTGATATAGCCAGTATTCTGTCTATATATCTCCATATAACTTAGCTATGTCAATGCAGATCTCTCAGAAAATTCTATCAAAAATATTTTTTTTTAAAAAAAAGAACTTTCACTTTAAATTATTCTTGTTATTTCTTCATAGAAGAGAGGTCCTTACTTACTGTATCCTCAATAACCAATCTACCACATGTTATTAAGAGAGCATCCTTGGGTGCTCTCTGTTATTTCATCTATCTGCATGAAAAATAGTTGGTTGCTTATCTTTGCAGTTGATCATTTAGATCCTCTATTATCTTTGTGATTCAGCAGGAAATAGTGTCATGAAATAAAATGACACTTGAAATTTGTTTTTTCATCAGATACCTGCAACATAGCTTTAATGACATCAATAGTTACTGGAAGAATTCTCTCCAAAATTCTGGTAGTATTTTTGCAGTACATGATTCTACTGTACATACAACTTGATAAATAGCAAGAAGTGATTTTGAAATGGTGCGTTTAACATTTAACCAGACACACATTTTGTTTCTTCATTTCCTCTCTTGTCTTCTTGGAATGAAGAACAAAACACCACAATCTTATGAGCTTTGTTATCTAAGTCTCATGATTTGTTTCTAGAGGTTGATTTAGCAGGCTTGACGTCAGATTCCAACTTCATAGAATTTTCTGATAAATACCACAAAATGTTCTTCTGCAGTAACAAGGACGCTTGTTAATCCAAAAACACATATAATTCTCATCATATTTTCTTGACCTAAGTTTACGTTTATTAATACTTCTGGTATTTATTTTATTTATTTATTTTATTTGGCTTATATGCTGCCCTATCTCCCAATGGACTTAGAGCAGCTCACAATAATAAAAACACAAGCCACAATACAAAATAAAATCTAAAATCTAAAAAATTTAAAATTTAACCCTTAAAACCCCATCAATCCAGGTCAAGGGATTTGAAAAGCCAAGTTTTTAATTCATGGTGGAAGGTGCGAAGGTCAGGCACTAATCGGAGCTCCAAGGGGAGTTGATTCCAGAGGGTGGGCGCACCCACAGAGAAGGATCTATCCCTGGGGGCCGCCAGCCAACACTGTCTAGCCGACGGCAGCCTGAGCAGGCCCTCTCTATGGGCGCGAACCGGGCGATGGGATATCGTTGCTGGCTGTAGGTAGTCTGCCAAATATCCTGGACCTAAGCCATGTAGGGTTTTATAGGTCATCACCAGCACCTTAAATCTCACTCTTGATTATATTCATTTTTTCTTCTATGCCGTAATGGCCTAAGCCTTTTTTCTTCCTTTTTAAAAATTAGAAATCTAAAATAATGAATAAGGATACCAAATGGGCTGAATCCGTAGGGGTGATTTATAATAATTTTAATTAAATTTTTAATTAATTTTAACTAATTTTAAATTGACTGATGTTTATGTAATTTTTTTGTTCCTTCTTGTAAGCCGCCCTGAGTCCTTTGGGAGAAGGGCAGCATATAAATTACATAAATAATAAATAAATAAATATTGAATCTCACCAACGCCAATATTACTTCACTTCTACAGCTATAAAAAAAATCACTGATATATTAGATGCCACATTTGAAATCATCAGCTTACGGTGCTACTATAATTGGTCGATGATTTTGATAAATAACTAGATAGCTCACTATGTGTTGGCTGCTCACTTTGCTAGATAAGTCGAGATGTTTTGATAGTGCTACTGCTTCTTTATCCAGGCACCACAGTAAGTTCTGGTTGAAATCGGGCTTTGAGTATACACACCCAAAGCCTTGTCACAACATGTTCTGCATATCCATGCAGGATGTAAAGAAATTCTGGTAGCAATCCAAAGAAATGTATAACCCTTCTCAAATTTGCTTGTGATCCACCAATTTGAGAGGTGCTGTATTCTATCAACATACTACTTCATATTACTTGTTCAGCAACCTAAAATTTTCAAAACCAAGACCTTAGTTTACAAGCTTTTATTTCCTTTCTGTTAGAAATATTGTGGACTTATTTATTTTGTGTATTTATGAAGAATTATAGTCAGTTAAATCTAAGTTTTATCTATGAATTAACAAATAGCTTTCCAGACTAACCTGGTAGATTATTGTACTGTTTAAATTGTCCTTGAAGCACTGAGATGTATTTTTCTTCATGCTAGGCTATTCTCATATGCTTGAATTGCTTGGACGGGAATATTTTGGTAATCTATTAATTATACCCATGTGGATTATTTAGAACAACACATGATATATTTATTTATTTTCAAAAAAAAAAAGATTGCATATACTGTGGCATAAAAATTCTCAAATCAGATTCACATATTCAGAACATAAAAAGAATTCTGTTGAGAAGGATATGACACACATAGTTGTGAAACACCCATGAAAATCTATTTTTTTAAGAGTTGAAACTTAACAATATTATATGGAAAGACTTTCAAAAGTCTTGTTATTATCAATAGTTCCTTTTTTGCTTCTATGTAATCAGTGTTGGGGATTATAAAAATACTGCATCTTTTTCTCCTGCTGGCCAGCCAAACTCAAAGCCTGAGTTCCTCCCCCACTGTGGTTCCCATGGAATTCAGTGTATGAAAATATGTGCAAAATCATGATTTATTAGTATATGTGAAAGGGGGAAACCACACTGAGCATATTCTGAAAATGTGTGTCTTTAAAAGAGCTATTTAATTCTTGACCAACATTCACAGTGGAGATGAGAGATAACATCAGTAAAGAGTCTCTCCAACTTTGCTGTGGATTTCTAGCTTTCTTCCTTTGGTTGTGAAAAAAAGATCAACTCCCTGAATTCCTAGCCTTTTCTCTGCTTTCTTCCCACAGAGACAGAAATTATCTTGCTTTTCCTTGTGTTCAATTATATTAGAATTATAACAATTTTTTGACGAAGAAAAATCCCCATTGCCTGGTTTGAATGGATCATTTGGAGATTAGCTTTAACTTTTCCTTGATTTTACATTCCTTATTCTTCAAAAGAAAAAAACTCCCAATCTACAATTTAATGTTCCAAAACAAGATAAAATGTCTCTTCTTTTCCTCTTGCCCAAGCTCCCTTGAGTTTAATGTTACCAGTCAAGTCTGAGTAGCAGTTAGTATCCTTTTACTCTTACACTCCAGTAGGTCCTCAGATTGGTTCCATCTCTTCAGAGATTGTCTATTTTACAATATCATAGCATTTGAAAGAATACCAATGTGCATTTAATAGTAATTAAGAAAGTTAATCTCTAGTTTGACATGCCAATTTTGATTATGAAAATGATTGATTGTGAAGTCATCATAGAATTACTTACGTTATATGAAATACATGATTGACTACTTGAAGCTCTTTGCTCTAGGACAGGTTTTTCTCAATTTTTGCAACTTCAAGATATGTAGACATCAACTCCCAGAATTCCTCAGCCAGAACGTTGGCTGGGGAATTCTGGTACTTGAAGTCCACACGTTTTAAAGTTGCCAATTCAGGAAATAGTGCTCTAGGACACGACTGAATATAGAAGGTGACATATACCTTTGGCTTGCATCTAATTATCATTAGACAAGAATTGATGTCACTTCCTGGAGTTTAAATAGTTTCACCCTTTTGCAATTCATGTTTGTGATGTTTTGATACTACTTCTTGATTATTACCTGGCTATCTCTTATATATAGTCATTTCAACTGGATAGCCTATATCTGCACATTTCTTTCTCTTGAAGACTTTGCCATCAGTCTTTTGTCTTTTTTCTAGGTAGCTTATGAAGGATTTTAATATTTTAATCCTAATTGTCTAGTTGAACCTTTTTTTTTAAAAGACTGAAACAAAACTGGTTCAGGAAAGACTTGAGATAAGGCAGGTATGTGCCAATTACTTCTTTAAAACGAAACAGTCTTCCAAGTTCCATTTGGAAAGTGCTTTATGTACAGTCTATCTGAGTGCTAATACAGCTAGACAATATAGCTGTCCTTTTTTATGAATTCCTAGCTGTTTTGTGTTCCTTTGAAATGTTATTTATATCTTGTTGCAGGGATATATCCACTGTCATAGGTTCAAAATACTCAGATCTTTTTCTTTTCTTCACTATGGATGTTTTATCTAACCTTTATTTTTCTCCTTTTGTTGAAGGTAAAACTGGATTCACCATCTGACTTTAAACATTAAAAACTTTTGGTGTCTAAAAGATGTGCCATGGAATGGTAGGAGCAAAGAGCACCACAACATCGTTGCTTGTCTTGATCAGTCATGGGATATTTTTTCCATTTTTTATCTTCAGTTCCTGTATGGTGGAAGGATTGGACTCATGTAAGTAACATTCTTACTATCTGTTTCATGCATATTTCTGCCCTTCTCTGTGATAATTCAGGCAAATGGGTTCTTGTAGAAAATGTTCATAAACCAAGCCAAGCCAAGCCAACATTTAAAGCAGCTATATACTTTAAGGAAGACTATGTGGTGGCTCAGTGATTAAAATACTGGGCTTGTCAGACAGAAAGCTGGTAGCCCAGATTCAAGACCCGAGCTCCACGCAATGGGATGAGCTCCCGTCCTCACCCCAGCTCCTGTCAACATAGTAGTTCAAAAGCATACAAATGTAAGTAGATAAATAGGTGCCATTTTGGTGGAAGGTAACTGTGCTTCATGACGTCATGTTGGCCACATGACTGCGGAAATGTCTTCAGATAATGATGACTCAATGGCCTTGAAACAAAGATGAGCGCTCTCCTTGATAATCGACAACAACTAGCAGAGTAAAATCCGCAAGGACTCCTTTACCTTTTTTTTATACTTTTAAGGAATGTGTGCAATCATCTACTTGGCGGGAGCGTCCCACTGGGTTGCATGCTTTTATCTGAAATGGAGATCTGATTTCCACTGGTGATAAGGGTAACTACTTTGAATAGGAGTATGGATACAAGACTGGCATTGAATAGATGAGGAAAACATATTTTCAAATCCTGTACTGGATTAAAACAATAGTATATAGCAGTGATGGTGAACCTTTTCGGCACCGAGTGCCGAAACGGTCGCACGGAAACATCGCCAAGGGGCTGCGCTCTGGAAAGGCCAAAGTTCCGGGTTCTGGCACGCATGTGCACACCGCTTTTCAGCACTGCCACGCGCATGAAGGACAGCTGATCGTCACGTGCACATGTGCTTCAGAAACCCGGAAAACAAAAAGGCAAGGTCGTGTGTGCCAGGCGACATGGCTTTGCGTGCCACTTTGGGCACGTATGCCATAGATTCGCCATCACGGGTTTATAGTATTTAAGCGTGGGCCTTGTTATTTGTTGCATGTGATCAAGATAATCATCTTTGTAAGTAATACCAGTCCATATTGTTAAGTTAGGTAAAGGTAAAAACATTTCCATGAATACTCTCCAAAGGATAGAGTCAGTGGGACTACATGTCCTTCTATACTGTTTCCAAGTATTTTCTCCCATATAAATTCATTTACTTCAGAAAGGCAGTAAAAGAAATAATGGCAAATCATGTGTGTGTGTGAGTGAATGAGAGAGACAGACAGACAGACAGACTGATAGACTGTGTGTGTGTGTGTGTGTATGATATATAAAGAAACATAAAAATAAAAAATGTAAAATATATTTATAATGGAAATGAAATTTGGACTTTGAAGAAACAGGATAGAGTATTTTCAAATTTGGGGTTGGAGAAGGTTTCTTAGACCATCATAGATAGCCAAGAAAGAAAGTAAATGGATAATAGAACAAATCAATCTAATATTGAAGGCACAAATAACCAAACTTAAATTACCATTGATTTGGACACATATTGTGAAAATCCTGTTTCCTTGGGAAGTCCACAATGCTGGGAAAGTTGAAAAGAGGACGACCAGCAGCAGGGTAGATGGACTTGATTAGAGCAGTGATAGGTACAGAATTGGAAGATTTTAACAACTTCATTGATGAGAGATCATCCTGGAGAGATCAATCTGTGTGGCCAATTGACAATTGTCACTGACTTGTTGGCTCATAATCAAGTGGTTGAAATGCTTTAAATTAGTTACAATATCTACAATCAAGATTATCCCTTCAAAATAATATTGATAATAGCTGACTCATTCATGAGATTATCAACATAGTTTTCATATTCCTCCTGTATATATATTGTATTTAAACCTTCACTGGGAAAAAAGGTAAACTGAAGGGGGGAAAAGATTTCCTTGTGAGAAAGAAACTTGGTTTTAGGGGTCCCTCTGGCACTGAGTGTTCTATGGAATAGAGCCTGTTGGGAATTAGTTGAGGTTCAGAAAAATGAAAATTCCATGTATATGGGCAGCAAAAGTAACCTACAGCAAGAAATGGGCTCTATAACCTTAGAGATGAATCAAATTTTGAGTACCATATAAATATCGGATTTGTCAGTTTTCTTGGAAAAATGCTGTTTTCTTACATAACAGTTTATTCTTGTACATTTCACCATGAAAGCTGCTGAATGTGTGAGAGTGGAGTGTTAGATGATAGATAGGTAATTTATTTAATAATATCCTGGTTTTATTTATCTTTCAAATCCTCTTAGTGGGAATAGTTCAGAAAGAAATACAGGCACGAGACCAGGGTGGACCTAGTTCCCCGCTGCACATTGCAGGGGAACTGGCTGCCACCTGAAGCGCGACTCTTGAGGTTTGCATTTTGGAATCTGGGCAGCGATGGCTGGAAAGGAGGAACGTTTCCCTTTAGGGGCTCCCATTCAGCTCGGCTTGGCTCCTGGGCGCAGAGAGGGTTAGGCGGCGGCAGCGGCAGCTCCTCACATTGCTGGGGAGTGAAGTCAGCGGGGTCAGAGGAGTGACCAGCCGCAAATCGTGGCACCCGCCTTGTTCCCCAAAGCTGCAGGGCAGATTCCTGCCCCCTCAGACCATCCCAAAGAGGTTTGTTCCTCAGGCTGTGCTCTGTCCCTCCCCCCAGAGCATGCTAGGGGTCTCTTTGGGGGAAAACGAGTAGTCCCTGCACCTCTCGCTTGCAGGAGGAAAAGAAGGGCGGCGCCACTTTAAATGCTGGTAGGCAGAGGTAAAATACTTTTTTCCTTGTTTTCCTCCCCCAAAATTAAGGTGCGTCTTATACTCCGGTGCGTCTTATACACCGAAAAATACGGTAATTGTTCTAACTGTCAGGAAATTTCTCCTTAGTTCTAAATTGCTTTTCTCCTTGATTAGTTTCCACCCATTGCTTCTTGTTCTATTCTACCCTCAGGTGCTTTGGAGAATAGTTTGACTCCCTCTTCTTTGTGGCAACCCCTGAGATATTGGAACACTGCTATCATGTCTCCCCTAGTCCTTCTTTTCATTAAACTAGACATACCCAGTTCCTGCAACCGTTCTTCATATGTTTTAGCCTCCAGTCCCCTAATCATCTTTGTTGCTGTTCTCTCCACTCTTTCATATATTATATGTTTAATATAAAGATAGCCACTCAAGTTACAAGCATGTTCTGTATGAAGTCAAATAGGATCTTAATTATAGAAGTGATATGTAAACAAAACTAATTAGCTGATCACTGTCTGCATTTCTGCCTAACTGACTGAATGTTGCTTAATCTTCTGACTATTTATTTATTATTTATTTATTTATTTATTTATTTATTTATTTTATTTTATTTTATTTCTATACTGTCCTTCTCCCGAAGGACTCAGGGCGGTGTCCAGCCTAATTAAAAACACAAAGACAGACAAAATTTAAAAATTATTAAAATTATTAAATGATAGGCCCAATTTATAAAAACCCCAAATTTAAAATCCCATTTAAAACCAATTAAAATTGTTTTTAAAACTATTGCAGTTTGATGAGAACAACAATTCTGTAATGTCAGCTTAAAAGATATTTCTTTGTATCCATCTTCCCCATACTGCTGTGGCTTTTGGTAAAATGATATTTTCTAAGACATCTTTCCAGTGTAGCTAGAATATAGCTGTGGAATGGAAATAACTTTTCAACACAGAAACATCCATCTACTGAATGCAAAAGCTTAACCCAGCAATTTATTCTGCCAATTAATGTGTTTTCCCACCTGTTCAAGTGTTAGCTATTTTCCACTCAAATGAAGGCTCTGTATGAGGTTCTGCGTGTGTGGTCTGCACAGAGCCTTCTTCAAATTCCTAAAAATTAGAGGTGGAGAAAAGGAGTGTTTAAAAGAAAACAAACACTTTAAGTCTTCGTGAGATCCCCTTTAATATACAAAATTTGTGAATATGAACATTGCATTAATGTTCTATCCATGGAAATGTTGGTTGGGGTGGGAATTAGGAAAACTTCTGTACCTTGCTGTGAATGGATATAAAGTTACCAATGATGAAACATGCTTCTTGATTTTATTATTTAAGTGTTTGCTTGATTGATATGTCACTTTTCTTCCAAGAGTTCCCAGCATCTTAGATGAGGGTCTCCATTTTATTCCAGTAATATAATCTCATATCATCTGAATACCATAAATTGGGGCCCAAGTCACCAATTAGGTTCCCATGGATGAGACTGGCCTAAAACATCGATCTCCCTATTCCAAGATTCTTAATCACAACATCACACTGGTCTTCACTGCTTTTGAGAATGATCAGTGAAAGATTCGTAATGCGAGGTTTATTAAGTATTCTAGGGATATCCATGACTCCTGCAAAGAGAACAGAATTTTTTTAAAAATGTGAAATGTTTTGTCATAAATATAAAGTGAGTGAATATTGGGAGGAGCATTTTATACATTTGCATGGGAGCATTTGTGAAATATTGTAAAGTGGAAATTGGCAAATGCTATAAATGGTTAAGCGTCCCCCCCCCAAAAAAGTTTAAAAATATGTGATAAGTACTGTAACTGGAAAAACATTTAAGATATGGATAAGGTTTGTTTATGAAGTGACCAATCCAGTTGTTTAACTGTGCATGAGATTACATCCATACTCCATGATTAGGAGAACATTGCTATTGTTCCCCTGTAGAAAGAAGAAGGTAGCAAAAGCGAATGCAAGAACTGCAGAGGGCTTGTTTTGTTAAAGAGCATCTGGGAAGATATTTGGCAGTTTTCTGATTAAAATAATAATATGAAAAATGACATGAACCAAATTAAAAAGTAAAATGTAGCTTCATGCTGGCAGAGTTTTGCTATTCAGTAGATCCTTGAAAAACATGTATGAATCTGAGGGAGAAAAGCTTATTGTATGTTTGTTTAGAGAAAGTGTATGATAATCTTAATAGGAGTATGACATTTTGTATAACTATCATTGAAAATTGCTGCTAAATGTAGTAAAAGCAGCATACGAAGAAAGAAGAACATGTGTGAGACAAAATGGAATACTTCAAG